GAATAAGATTGGGACCATTTTTTACTTAAAACACAAAGTAGTTGTATTAATAAAATTTTGCTATATTGCTCTTTAAGGGTTGCATTTTCTTATGATTTATTATGAGATTTATAACATATAAATTGATTTTCTAAAGATCTTTTGTTTTGTCAATTTGGTCCCTTTTTGCAGCACCTAGCCTATATAAAGAGCAAATTTAAGAATACTATTTGCAGTCTGAAGAAAGCTGTTCTGTTGTTTTATAAAATCTGGCAAGATGGTGAATTCTTGATTCAATCAAAATTAACCGGAATTTAGAGTCCTTGTCACTACGATTACACTCCAAGTGCTTACGAATGACAACTGCTTTCTTGATCAAGTGATAAAGGACTTCAGGAATCTCGGGTGCTAGGCCTTAAAAGAAGTAATTTAATAATGCTACTCAATCATCAAACTTTCTTTCCTTTATTAATATTATTAAAAAAAAAAGCCTTCAAGATTCGAAGAATCTTATTTACAGTAATGTTTTTAACTGGTTCAAAATCACATGAATTTCAGAGACGCACACTAATTTGCGAGAGTGTTATGCCTTCATTTGCAAGCTTTAAAATTTGTTCACAGACATCATTAGGCGTAATTTTCATCCACGAAGACAGCATATGTTGGTATGAAAAAGTACTTTTATCAGGAATAAATTTGGTTTTAGTATTTCCCCATAAAAAAGACTAAAAGACTACATAGAATAGAAGAATGCGCTTAAAATATTTTGGTAAAAATATACAGTTTCATTTGCTAACCTAGCTTTTTTTTTTTTTTCTTAAAATGAATCGTGCGGATAACAGTTACTACTTGTAGATCATGTCGTGCAATAAAATTTTTACTTGATTTATCCTGAAAAAGTAAAGAATTAATGTGATATGTAGTAATCAACGGTAAGTGAAAGTATTTTTATTTTTATTGACCCACCTTAAATAGTATACGCCGAGTCAATATTGAATATAATACGGAAAGGGCAGTATTACTAATTTAGAAGTTATAACCCAGAAGATATTATTAATCATTGAGTATAGTTATTGGCCAAGGTAAATAAAAATATATAATAGCTAATGTAGCTAAAGAACAAGGTGATTACTTGTAGATGATCAAAAATGATAATTTTTTTAGTAGGTTAATAAAATTAGTCAAGCAAATCAACCGATATTTTCACCCTATAGCAATTCAATTAAAAAATGTGAATACTTACTAGACAGTAATAAATTTCAATATATGAATAATAACTGAAACAGTATGGCCTATTTGAAATAATGTCATTATATAGATAATGTATTATTATTTTTAATGATTTATTTAATTCTGCAAGCACTTTTTCCATCACAAGATAAGTTGCACTTCTTAACATAAATGCATTATTGTTTAACTTCTAGTGATAAAATCTGTAGGTGCTTCCCTATATACATCTCTGGCTTTGGTATGAATTATGTATTATTAATCTAAATCACTAATTGGATCATCTATATCAAAATTTCCATGTATAACCTCTTCATTTAAACTTGAAGATTCATGGGCTCTAACATGGAAGACAAAGATATCAAGTTTCTGACTTCTAAATTTGTTAAATTTTCATTAACCAAATCTTCTATATAGTTCTTCCTCAACTTCTGTACCTTCTTCTTCTGCAAGTCATCCAAGAAAGAAAATGATTTTTCTTCACTGAATAAATCAGACCCATCCTCTATAGAACTTGCAATTCTATTGAAAATAGACAATAGGTCTTCTTGGCAAAGCTTTTGATCTACATAATTAAGTTCTGTTTTAGCATTCTCGACTAAAAATGAGTGTATCTAGACCATAACTTCTAGACATTTAATGCTTAACCTAAAAAAAAAAATAGTATTTTTAGTAATAATGAAGGAGTGAGTCAATAGAAATCAAGCAAATTTTTTATAATAAAAATTTTTATAACTTTAAACAAGAATAACTTAACAAAAAACTTAATAAAAATTTTTTTAAATAATTTTTATGAACTTCTAGAATTAATTTTAAAAAAAAGGATATTAAATATATTTTTAGAGCGAGGGTTTCAAATTTAATAGTGATAATCATGTAACTTCTACAAATCTGTCAAATTTGCAAATACTTTAATACTTTAGTAGGTAAAAAATCTGCTGTAACACTTGAGATTGCATCGATATACTGTATTCAGTATCAGGTATATAAAAATACATAGCAGTAGTAAATACAGTGCTTTTATTCTTTTTTTAAAAAATAAAGTTTTTTTTTTTTTAGTGTTCTTAACTATTACTAATATTATATCTTGCCAGATAGTGATTCGGCCTTTTTCTTTTTTTTTTTTTATAAAATACGAACACAGTTTTAAAACAATTATTTGCAAACTTACATCTGGCTTTTTTTTTCTATTTTTCTTTTTTTTGCTTGTTTTCAAATTTTATTTTTTTCTATATATATATATTTTTTTTTTTCAATTTGCTAAAATGGAATATGCGGCAAATAATGAATATACTGAATATGCAACAAATAATGATGATGAAATTTCTAATGATTTAGTTAGCGAAACCGCATCATCTATACAAACTAAATCATCAAATAATAGTGGACGGCCCCCTGCAGATGTATGGAAAGAGTTTAATACTATAAATAATGAAGCAGGAAAACATAAAGGAGCGAGTTGTAGATATTGTAAACAGAAGTGGTCTCGAGGAAGAGCTCATGAAATGAAAACTCATTTTGTGATAAAATGTAAAGGAAAAGTGCCTAGAGAAATCTGACTTAAAATACTTCAGGAGCTTCAAAGTGAGCCTATATCACCTGAATCAACTGCATTTAAAAAAAGAAAATCAGAATATTCTCAGTTGTCTGTAGATGCCTATTATGATGTGAAAAAGCTATTGATAAAGCTAAAGAAAAAAGAGCTAACCAATCACTGATTAAATGGATTGTATCTTCTGGTATTTCATTTTCAGCCTTCGACAATCCTTACTTTGAAGACTATACCAAAGCATTAAATCCTGGCTATGATCCACCCAAGCGTTCTGCCTTAGCAACATCAATTTTAGATACAGAGGCAGCAAGTACTATAATAAAAATGGATAAGAAGCTATCTAAGACTAAGAATTTAACTTTATGCATATATAGTTGGTGCAGTCCATTGAAACACAGTATATATGCTTTTGTTATAATAACAAGTAAAAGAAAACAGTATGTCTATTCTTTACAAGATTTTTCGAAGTTCGCCTATACTGCAAAGTTTAATACTGAAAAAATAATAGAGGTATTAGAGAGTATTGGACCGGAAAAATTTACAGCAATAGTTTCTGATGCTGAATCATCGATGATAGCGGCAAAACGACAGATTATACAAAAGTATCAACATATTTTATCCATAAGATGCATTGCGCATCATATCTAACTTATCTCTAGCAGCATCTGTAAATTACTTCATACAAAAAAGATTTTGTCAAACTGCCAAACAATTATATGCTTTTTTAGGAATTTCTACTCTGCTGGTACCGCTCTTAGAGAAGAAATCGTATTTTCTTCTACTCTTGGTGGAAATTTGAAGTCACCAACTAAGACTCGGTGGTCAATGGCATGGGATTCTTGTGAATCTATCCTACGTAATGAAGCAAATATTAAATCAGTAAAGTTTTATAATTCTGGTTTATGCTGTTGGATATAAGTAGAAATAAAGTTTCTATACTTATATGGATAGTAATTGGCGTCATAATCATGTGATGCTAATTGTCACATAATACAATATATAAAAATTAACAATTAGATTGTTGATTTTTATATATTGTCATGATCTTAATATAGTAACCATAGTATTTAACATATGAGGAAAAACCTGTAAACCATTTCACTCACAGTGAATTCTACCTCTAAGGGATAGAATTCATTGCGATGATAATGAGTAAAATAGTTTATAGGTTTCTCTTTCTATCACTCATATAGTATTATTTAATTTTGCTAATAGGTTTTAGAACAAGAGCCTCAAATTTTTATCCGTGCAAGCGCTGTAAAAAACCTAATCAATGATCGTCAATTTTGGATTGATATTGAGCAACTTAGAAATATTCTCGGTCCTGTAAAATGGGCTGTAAAAAATGTAGAATTTCGAACTACCTCATTAGCTGACATTTTTGTTGAACTCATAAAAGTGGCGATCGCAATTCAGGAGATGTCTGTTTTATATAATAGCCAATTTCGGCGTAATTGCATTGCTATATATAATAAGCGATGGAAAGAGTTTGACTTTGAATTTTATCTTTTATCATTTTTTTTACACCCAACTTACTGCGGTATTTAGAAGTTAATATGCATATTTTATTGTATTTTTAATTTATTTTTACTTTATTTTTTTATTTCTCTTATAATAGGTAATTTTCTCGAAGTTGGCATATATAAAAATTATGTTTTTAGAAAGGCGATAGAAATGTAGAAACAAATAGGTGGAGGAGATATAAGTGCTGGCATTTTAAAATCTCAAATGAATTTATACAAAAATCACAGGTCCCCTTTTGATAATGAATTTATTCTGTCTACTGATACAGTTACTGATTGGTGGATGTCCGTAGACCTTAAAAAAAATGAAGATCATATAAAGACCCTCACCCTAAAAGTATATTCAGTTTCACCCCATAATGCTACTTGTGAGCAGCTCTTTAGTATATTAAACTGGTATCTTGGAAAAAGACAGACTAGATACACTAATTTTTTTGTCTTTTATCATAATTTTTATATTATTACAATATTTTTTTTCTTTTTTTTAGAATAAGCATTAAACGTCTAGAAGTCATGGCCTAGATGCACTCATTTTTAGTCGAGAATGCTAAATCAGAACTTAGTTATGTGAAACAAAATCTTCATCAAGAAGACCTATTGTCTATTTTCAATAAAATTGCAAATTCTATAGAAAATAGGTCTGATCTATTTAGTGAAGAAGAATCATTTGCTTTTTTGGAAGAGTTTGCTGAGGAAAATACAGAAGAAACGGAGGAAGAACTAAAAGACTTAGCTAACGAAAATTCAACGAATTTAGAAGTTAGAAACTTTATATCCTTGTCTTCCAACTTAGAGCCCAATGAAACTTCAAGTTTAAGTAAAGAGGTTATACATAGAAATAAGGATTTTGATATAGATGATCTGATTAGTGATTTAGATTAATAATACATAATTCATATTAAAGTCAAAAAATATATATAGGGAAGCACTTACAGATTTAATCACTAGAAGCTAAAAAATTATTTCCTGATAGAAATGCATCTGCAGAATTAAACAAACTATTAAAATAATAATAATGCATTATCAGAACAACAGCATTATTTTAAATAGATCGTACTGTTTTAATTATTCATATATTGAATTTATTACTATCTAGTAAGTATTCGCTTTTTTTTTTTAATTGAATTATCGTAGGGTGTAAATATCAGTTGACTTAGCTGTCCAATTTTATTAACCTACTAGAAAATTATCATTTTTGACCATCCATAAGTACATTGTCCTTCAGCTATACCAGTTATCATACATTTTAATTTACTTTGACCAATAACCATACCTAATAATTAATAATATCTTCTATATACATGTTCAATATTGACTCAGTGCATACTATGAATTTGTTTAAGGTGGGTTAATAAAAATAACAATGCTTTCGCTTATCATTAATTGTCATATATTGCATTAATAATTTAGAATTTTTTTTTAGTATAAAATCAAGTAAAAATTTTATTATTACTCGCATGATCCTTAACACTACATCCTAAGGAAAAAAAAAAAAAACTTAAAGATTTCTGATAATGCCTTTTCATACTAACATATGCTATATTCGTGGATAAAAATCACGTCCAATGATATCTGTGTACAAATTTTAAAGCTTGCAAATGAAGGTATAACATCTTCGCAAATTCGTATAATTCTCTGAAATTCGTATGATTTTAGACCAGTTAAAGACATTACTGTAAATAAGATTCTTCGAATCTTAAAGTTTAATAGTAGGCATTTAAATTTTTTTTTTTTTAGTAATAATAAAGAAAAAGAAAGCCTGATATTGAGCAATGCTGTTAAATTATTTCTTTCAAGATTTAGCATCTGAAGATCTTTACCACTTGATTATAAAAGTGATTGTCATTCGTAAGCACTTGGAGAGTAATTATAGTAATAAGAACTGTTAATTTTGATTGAATCAAAAATCCATTGTCTTGCCAGATTTTATAAAACAACAGGACAACTTTTTTCAAACTGGAAATAGTATTCTTAAACTTGCTCTTTATATGATATTATCTGGGATTTTGTCTTTCAGTTATACTATGTATAACATACTTTATTGTGCAATAAGGCATCATTGGAAATAACTAAGGCAAATTACAGATCTATTAATAAAGATTTAACATTTATTGCTATAGTTTACCATGTAACCCACTTTTTTTTATACTGAATAAATATTGAGTGGAATGTAACAGACCAGAAATTTTTATATATAGCAAATTATAGCATAACAACAGCATTATCCTTAATTTTTTTATAGCAAATGCTATATGATCATACAAGTTCAATCAATGCTAAGTTACAAGGGACATACTTTTTTTTACTTGAATAAAAGTTTGATAATTAGAAAATTTTTATTGGGGCATGGCAGCGTGGTAAGCCTGATATAAGCCTTTTATCATCAATTAGTGAACTCTCAATATAATATTTTTATCAGTATAATTTTACTATAATGAGAGTCGCTTGCACAATTAGTCATTAGCAATTAATAAATTATTGATCGACTAGCCCTTTTATGATGTCGCCAAATATATTTCACTTGATGGAATGCAAGCTGATCTTATATGTACAGTTGTATTTATTATTTTTATAAAATAAATGTTAGAAAGGTTAAGAATTACCCAATTAATAAATTCACATTTCTTGTTCATAGTACGCAAGTGAATATTTTCACGAATCTTTTTTTTTTTTTAAAAAAAAAAAAAAGTGATATTATGGTGAAACTAGTTTCGATTGATTATAATAAAAGCAAAATTGAAATTTTACTTTATGCTTTCTAAATAATGATATATTCGAATTAAAGTTTTCTTCTAAATTATATCACTTTATAACGAACTGGATATTTTGAAAAAAAGGTCTTTCCAAGATTATCACCCACTATACTTGACTGATATAAAATTTAAATCTTTATTGCTTATGATAAAGACGTTCATTTTACGGAATTGACTATATAAAGTACTCGTATGCATTCTATTTAATGTACCATAAATTCTCGAAATAGCGGGCATCTGCGTACTATTTTGACTACATGCGCATTATTTCGAATATGCTCATGAGCGTTATTTCTAGATAAAGTATTAATTCTGGAATCTGATTGTTACTAATGTTATAAACAGGTCGAATGAATAAGTATTAGGTAAATATCGGGTACAGGACTTGTGCATATCGTGAGTTTTGTATTCTGATATTTACCCGATACTTGCTCTTCGAGGTGCGCGCTATTTCGGATGTGCATGGGCATTATTTCGAAACCACCTATGCCATTTTTAGGAAGCATGATTTTTGAAATAACACTCCTGCCCGCTATTTCGAGAATTTACAGTATATAACTTATACCGGTAATAATTATTATAATTTGGGTTTTGGGATTTGGGAGAGGATTTGGAAGGGATTTGGGATTTGGGTGGGGATTTTGAATTTGAGTGGGATTTGGGATTTGGAATTTGAGTGGGATTTGGGATTTAAGATTTGGGAGGGATTTGGGATTTGAGATTTGAGAGGGATTTGGAATTTGAGATTTGGGTGGGATTTGGGATTTGAGATTTGGGTGAAATTTGGAATTTAAGATTTGGGTGAGATTTGGGATTTGAGATTTGGGTGGGATTTGAGATTTAAGATTTGGGTAGGATTTGGGATTTGGGTGGGATTTGGAATTTGGGATTTGGGCGGGATTTGGGATTTGAGTGGGATTTGGGATTTGGGATTTGGGTGGGATTTGGGATTTGGGTGGGATTTAGGATTTGGGTAGGATTTGGGATTTGAGTGGGATTTGGGATTTGGAATTTGGGTGGGATTTGGAATTTGAGTGGGATTTGGGATTTGGGATTTGGGTGGGATTTGAGATTTAAGTGAGATTTGGGATTTGGGATTTGGACAGAATTTAGGATTTGGGATTTTGAATTTGGGATTTGGGATTTGGGTAGTATTTTAAAGTTTTTAATTTTGCTAGTATGTATAGTGTTGTCTGCATATACAATTGCAGCTTGTCACTAATTTAGTTCTTTGTACATAGATCTTGATATATCTGTTAGCCATTTTACTTTCATCTTGTATCTGAGATCTTTTCTTTCTTGTACTGTTACAAGAAGGGAATCATAAAAAATTCTTTATACCAACAGGAAAATCACCTTACCTTGATTGATTCTGTTAGCTGCTACAAACTTGCTTGTATTATCTAAGCTTGTAATTACTTCAATTTCTCTTTTTTCATATAGATTTACAATAAATTCTGTTGCAGATTTGGGAATCTGGATTCTTCTTAGTGCTAGCTTAAGCATTTCTATACTTACTAAGTTGAACTTTAATTTTTTTAATAAAATCTTAAATATATATATATATATTTTTAAACTTAAACAGTTTTGCCAAGAGCTTTTATTAAGTTTTTATTATAACAAGGTTACAATATTAATTCCTTAATCTCTAAATCTGATATTACTCGATATGTTTAACAAGAAACATTATCACATATGATCTGCCGCACTAGTCTGTAAAAAATATACAAAACTAAAGGCTTTGTTAGAAAGCCTAAGCCTTTCTTTAAGACTTTTCCCATCTAAATCTCGATAGTATAGCTATTTATACCTACCAAAAAAAGTAAAAAAAAACAAAACATATATGAAAGAAGAAAAAGTGAAATTGAATAACAAAGAGAAATAGTAATTGAAGAAAAACTATATAACCTAAATGATAAACCTAATATTTAAAAGACCAGATAAAAAAAGCAAAAGAAAATTGACCAGCAAAAAAAAAAAACACAAAAAAAAAAAGAAAAAAAGAAAAAAAGTGTTCTTTACACTATTATAACCTGTGCAAGGCTTTAAAAAATTATATAACAAATGCAACATCTTTATATCTCTACTGTAAAGCTTCACCTTAACATATAAATTTCTTTTCGATTACAACATCTTCAGATATTCTTTTAACTAAGAGTCTAGACTCATGGAGTAGCACTATATTTGTTGGTAAACAAAATATGTAGTTGCAATCTACTAGGTTGTTTGAATTTGGAAGAGGTAAACAATACTGATCTTTTAATAGAAGTAAGCTGTTTTGTCCACTTTTTTTAAAAATTTTGAAGAATAAGCAAGTGGGTGATAATGTAGAAGATAGCTCTTATACTCTTTTTAAAGAAGCATATTTTTTTTTCAAAAGTAGTAGAATGTAAAGATCCAAGTTTACTTTTAATTTTCTTGTTAGTAGGTAATTAACTCTGAACTTGTTAGCAAGTAGCATATAAGAACTACTTCTAAATAACAAATGCCATCCCCACAGTAAGTAATAAGCTCTAAGCCTGTTAGCAGATAGCATATAAGAACTATCTCTAAATAACAGATGCTAGTTTATAGTTTTAATCAGTCTTATGCTTTTCTTTTCTACCATAGTCTACTGTTTTTTTGAAAAAAAGTTTATTGTATTTTTGATACAAGAGATCATTGAAAAGAGTTGTGTAAATTGAAATTAAAAAATCTTAAATATTGATTTTAGCTATATATTTTTTAAATAAAATATTTAAATTTAGATTTATTTTATTAACTTTATTAAGAAAATTTTTTAAAATTATTAAAAAATTTTAGTATAATAAAAGGTTAAAGTTCTTGTATTAAACTTTTTAATATATAATTTTTTTTAGATTTTCTTAAATTTTTATGTTTTTTACTTATGAAAATTTTTTTGCTTCTAAATAAAGTTTTAATTTTTATTAGTAAATTACTAAAAGTATAATAATAAAGGTTGTAATCTTTTAAATAAATTATAATATTGTTTTAAAAACTATATATTTAAAGAGTTTGTCAAGAATTTATAAATAATTTTTTTGTCTTCACCCTCATCTTTTTACTCTTACTCTCTTCATTCTATACTTAAAGGTCTTATACCAATACTACTAATCTAGGCCCTAGACT